AGAAAGTTTACGAATATATTTCGAAACTTAGAACCTATACACTTACACAGATAACATTTGAGTAAACAGAAACAAAAATAAAAACAAAAACAAACAGGCAAGCTCTGCTAAGCAACAAACCTGCTGTGATAAGGACATCTCATATGAGTTGTACTTAGGCGGTGCTGTGGTGGAGGTGAGTAGTAGGTCCCGTGATGACAATTCTGAAAGACAACGTGATTGTCGTCGAAGTCGCCGCCGCTCTCGGACGTAGTCTGACTCAGAATCAACACAAAAACCGCTTTTGAGCTTTACATCAAAGCGCAGACCGGCTGCTATATAGAGGCAATAACATCGTACAAGTCCTTTTCAGCGGTTTTACGATTACTTCCATTTTCTGACAGAATCTTTTTTTTCCTAAGCCCGTTTTGGTTGGACATTCTAGGACTCAGTCATCCTGCTTCTTTCACTACGCGAACCCGGGTTAGGTCTTTCTGGCTAAGGTCCCTTTCCCTCGATCAATCAGCTAGGTGCTGATACCATGGGACCACAATGCGTGCGGCCAGAGTTCTAAGGATTATTACTGCAAGGTAGACCCATCACTACTTACCTCCCCCAAGTATCAGAACCACGTCTGACCGTTAGCCAACCTCACCTCGTTCTCTACAATCTTCCGGATCTTCATAGTTATTCTCATAGTCGTGTTCCCGATCGGGTGGATGTGGCGGCATCCATGCCGGTGGTGGCCCACGCATTTCAAATGGCGTGCACTCGGATGGATGAGGTAGTGATGAAGCACCTGAACAGCTAAAATCATTTTGCAACTCTTTACTGTTTATTTATAAGTATCTGTTCCAGCAGGATAGGCTAGATTGATTCCAGAAGGATCGTAACAAGATGTGTTCAATTGACAAATATGAAAAGTAGCAGTAACTAATCGAAGTGAACATTATTTTATAGGAACAGGAATCCGAAGCTGAAACTAGACGATTAAGGAATGATGGTCGACAAGGGGTGAGCAGCTCAGGAGGTGTGCTCAACCTAGAAAAGAAAGCCATTCAGAGGAACTCCCGAAAATACAACCGACGGGCTGGAACAGATCGACAACTAAAGAAGCTCAAACTCTCCCTGATCCCATTGAGTGTGAGGAAGCTAGGACTGTTGATTTTCAAGGAAATCGCTGATGCCATCGCCAAAGCCACTAGGCGACCGGTTGTTGTTACTTGTGACCGTTTGCCCACATAACAAAGAGGCGCTGAACAGTGCCGTTATGTCCCGCCCCCAATCGTCGGTCGACGTTGTGAGGTCGTTAAGGGGATATCACTGACCTGTTATTACTACAGTGCAGCTGCATAATAAGTCTTCCGACACACTGGAAACCCGATCCGTGGTACGTACAACAAGCCATCTACCATATACATTGTAAATTACGTTTTTCTTTCCCAGCCAAACTTAAGAGTCGCTGTGCTACCTCAGAAAAAGCCCATTCTATTTGCCTCTACGGGAACAATATGATATGTCTTGTTTTCGTAGAGACAAATAATATGCCTCAGACCAGAAAAATGCAATTTCAGTTGAAAAAAAAGGACTAACTCCTACAAGGTGCGCCTGGAATCGCCATAACCACAAAAATAAAAAGGTAGAAAGTAAAAAA